TATGCCACATGCAACTTCCTCGGAAGCCACAATATTTGCAAACTACATTCACCTTGCAGGCATATAGAAAATCATTAAATTTGATTGAAAATAACATAGAAAGCATATCAGTTATATATAGTTTCTTTAAAGTATAAAGTGGTGTGCAGAGTTGTTTTCTTACATATAAAGAATATTTACCAACATACAGAAAGTTATATATACTGGATATTGTAATTGCATGTAAAACTTGAGATGCATTTTAATACTAGAATGTCATCTGCAGTATTTCTTCAGATATAAAGATCGTATTTCTTCTTTGAAAACAGAAAATATAGTTTATAAATTTACTCGTCCTTGTTGCAAGCAAGGTTAGATTGAATCTACTACAAGAAAGCTGTCAAGATTAGTGAAAGAACATGCAAGTTTAAGAATACTGGATAAATCCATTATTTTAAGTTATTAATGTGGGGCAATGACGAACAAAGCCTCCACATAAAACGGTAGCTTACTCATTCATAAGCTGAGACTGAAAATTAGGTTACCTCAGCTTATTAGTCTTTTCTTGTTTTATAATTGTAAAGCATTTGAGATTATTTTACAAGTAAATGGTTGGAGTGGTAAACAACAAGCTAAATATAATGGTGCCCACCAGTAAAAGACAACCACAATCTCACTGATAATTCTACCACAAGAAACTTGGAATAATTACCCATCACTTTTAATATTTCCAGTTGTTTTGGAATATCATATCAGAAGTAGCTGCATGTGAAATCATACAGTATGATAATAAGGGAAGTAGAAATTCCTGAAGAGTTGGTGACATCTTTTAACTGTCATGCTAATCTTATAATAATGAATTCACTGACACATGAGATGTTTATCTAAGCTTACTGACACCACATAAAATAAAATCCTTCATATCAAGATGAAACAAAACAAAAACACTATTTTATAAGTTGTTCAACATGCTTTGAAATTGGAAACCACCCAGGAAGCAGAAAGACATCTGCTCAAAGTAATGTCACAGGATCTACGCTACATTCAATCAGCTTCTAACTTAGATGTATGCCTGAAAACCCTAGGACTGATTCAAAAGAAATACTGTATTTTTCACATGGAATCTCCTAAGGGTTACAGATGTTTATGGTGTAAAATCATACAGCAATTTGTGAAGGACTGCAAACAACAGCATCACAAAAGACAATGCCAGCCTCATCACAGAGGATCAATCAATATCATCATTACAAAAAAGAAAATTATGCTTTTAACTGCGAAAAAAATTACCAATAGCTCCAAGAGAAATGCTTAGAAAATATATTACCTTGGAAGTCTTACTTTAAAAGAGGAATAGTGATAGGCTAAGAAAGCTCAGTTGGGAAATGTGGATTAGGTAAACTCACGGATTCTTAGTAGGTATATGAATAGAACTTCATTATAAACAAGCAGTTAACTCTTTATAAAAGCTTACCTAATAGTTACTGAATCCATATAAAGCAAGATATGTCACATGTTGACCATGTCTGACATTATTATTTAGCCAGATATCTTCTCCAAAGACTGAAAGATGTTAGCAAAACGTAAACAGACTGAACAATGACACAGAGTGTAAATGAAGAGAAAACCAAAAGGCAACCAATACACACAAAACAGTAATCACAGATGAAGAAATCCTTGTGTTTATAAAAGTAATTTCCAGATTTGATTTCTATCTTTTTTGTGTGTGTGTGTGTGACCAAGATCAGTTGGAAATAAAGCACCAATAATGGTCATTCAATTAGTAGCTGAATGTTGTAGAACATGAAGAAAATCTTACCCATTATAAAAATAATGTTATCTAAAAAAAAAAATGAACTTCAAGATTTAAAAATGTGACCATAATCAATCACAGCTAAAATTAAACAAACCCATATAGTGTGAAGTAAGGAATGGAAGAATTTGTAACCAAGTAGTAGACTAAGTTCAAATATAGAAGTTAAAAGCAATATCTCTCACAAGAGTTAGAGTGGCTCAGCAGTAAGTCTGAAGGCTTATAATGCTAAAAACTTTTGATATTTGTGGTGGGCACAGCACAGATAGCCCATTGTGTAGCTTTACACTTAACAACAAGCACAAAAGGTTTACAACAGTTATTTAATGTTTGGTGAAGGACTTGCATGTACTCTTTGTTTATCAAAACATCACTTCTATTGAAGTCTATGATACAAGATAAAAAAAAAAGTATGTTAAACAATGGATACCAGAGATATGGCCCAAATCCACTAATGCTGTAATGTAAACTTATTGCCATACACAAACAAGCATTAAGGAAATAAAGCAACAAAATTACAAAGAGTGTTAAAGCCTTGTTCATATCCTTTGACAGCACAGTTGACTACACATTAGAAAGATGCCAATATTTTACTAAACATTTATTCTATCCTTTTTTGTACATTCTTTTAACTGTTCTAATTTGAATCTGAAAATTAGAAAATTCAGCTACTCTAATCAAATAGTGGGATTTGACTGCCACTCTTATAATTCACCCATAGTCTCAAAGTGTGGAGCATGATTTTGGGACAAAGGGATGCAAAACACAGGCCCTTGGATTCACAGCTTAGCATGTATACAAGTAGGCAAAAACCAATAGTGTTCAGATACATTTCACAGCTTTGTGGAGAACACTATTCAAATGTAAAATATATCAGAAAAGCTGCTGACTAGTCCTTTTGTTGGAATGTATCTGCCAGTAAAATTTTAGTAAAAAAAAATACTGGTTTCATTATGGCTGGAACATTCATATTTTAACTTACACTACTGTTTTATGTATTTATGTTACAGTCTGTAAAAAAAAAAATGGCAGAGAAAATAAATGTTCACACACTTTCACCATCACTAAGGGAAAGTTTATTATTTTCAACAGTCTTCCTAAAGAAATTAAATACAGAAACAAAATTCATTAACTTCAAAGATGAGGTGAATCTATAAAGGCCTTATATAAACACACAAAATGTACAAATTCTGTTAGCTGTACATTTTTGGTCAGTAATACATTTGTTTATGCTGGCACAGTTGAAACTGTTTACTTAACAAGAAAATTAAACAGATCAATTAGAATTTACACCAAGTCCATAACATTGATAGCAAAAAAGCTTAATATTCATATGGTGACTGTACTCACAATAACAGCTAAAAGCCTGAGGGAAGGAAATATTCTTACACTTTGTCAGTACCAGATGGCTGCTGTGGGATGAAAGTGTCCTCACTACAAGCTGAAGAGAAGTTCTCACTTAAAAACAATTTTAATTGGCTGTTTGTTTCCACTTACAAAAACTACTAGATATCATCTAGTAACAGAAAACTTACTACTGACAGATACTAGCAGCTAGCATCTAGTGAGAGAAAACCTCCTACTGACAGATACTAACAGTTAGCACCTAGTAACAGAAAATGTCCTACTGACAGATACTAGCAGCTAGCATCTAGTGAGAGAAAACCTCCTACTTTCAGTAGGAGCTTTTCTCTCACTAGATGCTGTTACTATCTGTAAGTAGGAGCTTTTTTGTTACTAGCTGCTAGCATCTGTCAGTAGGAGCTCTTCTCTCACTAGATTCTAGCTGCTAGTATCTGTTAGTAGGAACTTTTCTCTCACTAGATGCTGTTAGTATCTGTCAGTAGGAGCTTTTTTTGTTAGTAGCTGCTAGCATCTGTCAGTAGGAGCTCTTCTTTCACTAGATGCTAGCTTTTAGTATTTGTCAGTAAGGGGTTTTCTTTCATTAAATGCTAGGAGCTTTTCTGTTACTAGAATTAACTATTAATATCTGTTAGTAGGAGAGCTTTTTTCACTAGATGCTAGCATTTAGTATCTGTTAGTAGGAACTGTACTGAATGTTAGCTGCTAGTATCTGTCGATAGGAGGTTTTCTCTCACTAGATGCTAACTGTTAGTATCTGTCCAGATACTAGCAGCTAGAATCTAGTGAGAGAAGAGCTCCTACTGACAGATACTAGCAGCTAGAATCTAGTGAGAGAAGAGC